TATCCATATGTTTTTATAAGTTTATATAAATATATAAGTTGTTTTTTAAAAAAAGAAAACAAAATTTCTTTACATTTTTTTTTAATTTAACAAAGAATCTAGACTACAATGGACAAAGTTAAGTTCAAAAAACAAAATGCAAATAATATTTTAGTAATTGAAAATTGCAAGTTTTTAAAAATTCTTTTTTAAGTGTTTGGAAGGTTTAACTTAACTTTCCTTTTCTGGTGCAAGCTGTGTTGTGACATTTTTGTTATAAGAACTTAACTGATGTTAAAAAATTTTACCTTCAGACACAAACCTAATGCACAAAAATAATAAAAGCAGAATCTTTTATAAAAATAAAGCAATGTCAGTCAGTATATTTTGTTCTAAATTTATTAAATGTATGTATGATTGTATGTATGTAAGTATGAATGTATTTAATTATATATATATATATATATATATATATATATATATATATATATATATATATATATATATATATATATATATATATATATATATTATATATATATTTATATGTTTATATATATATATATATATATATATATATATATATATATATATATATATATATATATATATATATATATATATATATATATATATATATATATATATATATATATATATATATATATATATATATATATATATATATATATATATATATATATGTTTATATATATATATATATATATATATATATATATGCTTATATATATATATATATATATATATATATATATATATATATATATATATATATAATATATATATATATATATATATATATATATATATATATATATATGTATATATATATGTATACATATATGTATATATACATATATATATATATATATATATATATATATATATATATATATATATATATATATATATATATATATTTATATATTTATATATATATATATATATACATATATATGTATACATATATATGTATACATATATGTATATATATATATATATATATATATATATATATATTTATATATATATATATATATATATATATATATATATATGTATATATATGTATATATATATATATATATATATATATATATAGACATATATATATACATATATATATATATATATATATATATATATATATATATATATATAATATATATATATATATATATATATATATATATATATATATATATATATATATATATATATATATATATATATATATATATATATATATATATATATATATGTATATATATATATGTATATATTTATATGTATATATAAATATATATATATATACACATGTGTTTCATCTGAAAATTTCTAAGCACCAGTGCTGACAAATTTGATTCATTCTCATAATTAGTTATAATCTAGAATAGTATTACTTTTTGCTATAGAATACATTCGTCCTTGCCCAACAGTTTTTTATACAATTTGGCGACGATTAACTTCGCATTGATTAAGCCTATTTCTTTTATTTTGGTGACAATTAACATTATCTCGATCAAACCTATTTCTTTCTATTTGGCAACGATTAACTTCATCTTGATTAAGCAAATTTTTTTCATTGTGTAAATGATAAAGGTTATCTCGCCTAAATTCTATTTTTTTCATTTCGTTTACGACTATTTTCAACACGCCTTATAGCACTTACATCATGTTGTAAATACATAACTTTATCTAACCTATCATTCATTTCAATTTCATCATTTTCATGAAACATATTTATCAAAGCAACACAAATTGTTTGTTTTTTTTACTACTCTAAAGTTAACAATAAAATATAAAAACTTAATAAATAACAAAAAAAATCTTGATCAAAAATTAAAAAAAAAAATTCTTAAAACAAATATATATAAAGAAACCAAAAATTCCAAAATAAAATTAATTTGCCATCATCAAAAGTATTACAGTTTTCTTTATAAGTTTAAATAATAATAGTTAAGGAAAACCTTCAACAATATTAGCATAATTTTTTTTGTTTCTAATAAAAACCAATTATCTTTTTTTATTAGAAGTAGTAAAGTGTTTCTTATATATAAACATGTATATATATATATATATATATATATATATATATATATATATATATATATATATATATATATATATATATATATATATATATATATATATATATATATATATATATATATATATATATAAAATATATATATATATATATATATAATATATATATATATATATATATATATATATATATATATATATATATATATATATATATATATATACATATCTATATATATAGAGAATTGTTATAAACCTATACAAATTAAATACAAATTATAATACCGTAATAGTATAAAAAAAAACAAAAAAAAAACAAAAAAAAGACAAAACACACTAGATTGTCAAATTTATATTATAATTAACAGTTTGTTTATTTAAAGATGAGTTTTCCCATTTAATATGGAGTGCTTCTTTAATTTTCAATTTGCTTTTATTAGGAACAGTATTTAAAATTATAAAACAATTACAGTTATTTAGATTTTTATAATCAACATATGAAATGAAATGTTTATAAACATTAGATTGTTTGTCACTTGTAAGATGCTCATAAATCCTTTGTTGTTAAGTGTATGGAGGTTTCTCCAATATAACTGGCATTACATCCAGCACAAGAAAGTTTATAAACAACATTGGATTTGAGCAGCTTAGGAAGTGGATCTTTTATACATAAACTGTTATGTAATTTGTCGGAAGTGAAAATTAAATTAATAATAACATTTTTACAATATTTTTTAATGATTTTTTAACTTTGGATTTAGTAATATTTGAGTAAAATCATGTAAATGGAAGTTTATAACATCTTATATTAAAGTTATCAATTTTATTTATTACAGATGGATTTAACTTATTATTAACAAATAATTTAAATTTAGTGTCGATTATTTTAGGTTGATATTGGTTATTTTTTTTTAAAAGAGATTTTTTATGTCCTTATCAAATCCTAGTCATGTATTGTTGATTTTATACGTTCTATCAATTAAACAACGTATAAGACTAATTTTATAACAAAAGGGAACAAAATTGGAAATTTTTTGTAAAAAACCTGTTTATGTTTTTTTGTGATAAACTGATGTGGGAAGCGAAACAGACTTATTGATAAGAACATCTAAAATTGAAATTTGATTATTATGTTCTTTTTCCATAGTAAATTTTAAGTTTTTTTGTTGTTTATTAAGATGAGTAAAAAATTCCTAAGCTTCAAACTCTAAATCAAAAATAGCGATAATATCATCCATATAACGTTGATAAAAAAAAAAAAAAAAAAAAAAAAAATATATATATATATATATATATATACATATATATATATATATATATATATATATATATATATATATATATATATATATATATATATATATATATATATATATATATATATTATTATATATATATATATATATATATGTATTTATATGTATTTATATATATATATATATATATATATATATATATATATATATATATATATATATATATATATATATATATATATATATATATATATATATATATATATATATACATATATATATATATATATATATATTGAACTATTATTAGTGAAAACATATGATAACCAAAATTTTTATTATAATATATATTTAGTATATTTAATAAATAAACCTCTACAATTTTCATGGTTCAACAACTCAATTATGCTTAATAATGACTCTGTAAACATGCATTTTCTAATAATGTTAATCATAATAATTTATAAACAATTAAACTTAAATAAAAATGTATGAAAATTATTAGCGCTATATTAAATATAAAAAAAAAAAAAAACTACATATAACACAATTGTATCCGAAACCAAAATTCATTCATGCAAGACAAATCATTTTATATTTATTAAAAAGCCAGAAACATATTTTTTTTAAGAGCAAAAATATTAACAATACTATAGATAAATTTTATTTATATTTAAATTTTCAATAAAAAATAATGTAAGATAATTTTATTTATGAAAGCATAAAACTACACATAATTTTTTTTTTTTACGCTAGACACTTCCTAAGAATTATACTAATTTATAATTTCAATATTAACATTTATAAGACGAAGCTTTAAATTTAAAAGTACAATTAAAAAAAGATTTCAATAAAGTAATTACTAAAATTTTAAAAAGATTTTATATTAACTGTAATTTTAAGCTACAAAATATTATGTACATATGTTTACTTAAACATTTTGAACTCGCACCATGAAAGGTCGCGACTTTTTTAAGAAAGCACTCGGTTAAGAAAAGTCTTGAAACTACATAATTACTAAGAAAGATTTTTTTTTACAGATCACAGAACCGTAACTAATATTGAATAATATGCGTAACTATGCGCACTAATAATAATAATAATAAGAGTAATAATAATAATAATAATATTCACTGCGCTATTTTTAATAAGAATACTTTTTTTAATTACTATTTCTATTTCTGCATATAAGTTATTCCACGCCAAGTGGACCAAGGTTTAACATAGACTACCTAGTCTTTGTTGAAATATGGCATAAATAAGGCAGTTTTTTTTTAATTAATTAGTAGAAAAAGCATAATATACATCTTTTTATTTATGACTTGTTAAAAGAAAATTTAAATACCATGTCTCTAGTTTGATCAACTTAAAACCTAACGTCGACACTGTTTTTAATATTTAATATTAAGAGCGGTGTTTGCCCTACAATTAAAAAGAAAGAAAAATAATTATTTTTTGCATAAGATTTTTTGATAGTACTTCTTACAAAATTTAATCGTTTCCTTTAATCTAATCCGTAACTTTCTATTTATGTTAAAGTTACAAAAGATTTGTCATTTGTAATGAAATGAAACCTTGTTTTGTTGTTTTTCCAAATTAATTTATACTTATATAATACTTTTTTTTTATAGGTAATATATTTAATTATAATTTAACTATATTCATTTAAACAATTAGCTCCTCTTAACAATTTAGAATCTATTAGTGATTGGAATTCATGGAGTGATTGTTCAACAACTTGTCGAATTATTGGTGAAGATAATCCAGTTAAAACGAGAAACCGTACTTGCTTGCGGTTAGACGGTTGCTTAAATACTGCACTCACAGAAATAATGGATTGTAATCTAATGGATTGCACAGGTTGATGCATTTTTTTTTTTTTTTATGTTGCTTATTCATTTATGAATTTTTTTTTGTTCATCTCCTTAGCATATTTTATATATAAATATATATATATATATATATACATATATATATATATATATATATATATATATATATATATATATATATATATATATATATATATATATATATATATATATATAACGTATAATATATATATATATATATATATATATACATATATATATATATATATATATATATATATATATATATATATATATATAAATATATATATATATATATATATATATATATATATATATATATATATATATATATATATATATATATATATATATATATATATATATATATAACGTAGCCAAAAAACTATTAAAGGCAACATATGACCCTCTGAATTTGTATCTAAACTTTTTTGATTTGTTTTTTGTAGAGTTTGAACTGCTCGCATTTAATAACAATTATGTTTGCTAATGACACTAATCTATTTTTGTCACACAAAAGCGTTCCTCTCTATTATATTAATCAAATCATCTGACTGGTTTAAGACTAACTAGTTATCCAGCCTCTCATCAAAAAACATAAGCTGCCAATTAACATGCTTCATCTTGTTAATGACAGTATACAAATTATACAATTAACAGTAACCAACTTTCTAGGTGTTTGTATAAATGAAAATCTTTTATGGAAAAATCACATTAAAAACTTAACAAGTAAAATTTCAAAAAGTTTAGAAATATTGTACAAAGAATGAAATATTTTAGTAAACATTTTTTAGTACAATTATATCACTCATTTATTTATTGTCACTTAAAATATACAAACATTGCTTCTGGTAGTACAAATAAAAATTAACTTAAACCTCTTTATTGTCAGCAGAAGCATGTAGCACGTCTTATATATTTTAAAGACCGTTATACTCACGCCAAGCCTTTATTATTTGAAATTAAAGTTTTTAATATATATGAGCCCAACTTATTGAATATTCTTTATTTTATGTTTAAATGTAAAACCAATTTGTCCCTGATTTCTTTACATAGTTTGTATTTATTAAAAAATTAAAACAAATATGTTTTACGCAATGATAATTTTATTAGGCTGCACATTTTTCAAACAAATCTTTTTAAGTTTTGTATTGGTTGAATATATATATATATATATATATATATATACATATATATATACATGCATATATATATATATATATATATATATATATATATATATATATATATATATATATATATATATATATATATATATATATATATATATATATATATATATATATATATATATATATATATTTATATATATATATTTCTTCCCCTCAATGCTCTTTGACATGACATTCCATAAATTATCAATGGGAGTTTATGTCTGGACTTTGAATAGGATAGTCGAAAACGCCCACTCAATTTTGACGAACGAAATTGGTTACCTTATTTGCTTTATGACATGGCGCATTGTCATGCAGGAAGATAAACCAATTTCCTTGTCCAAACAGAGTATCAGCAGATGAAAGCATTGAGTCCTGAAGCGCGCTAATGCATTGGCAAACTGCCAATATATTAGCGTGTTTCAGGACTCACTGTAAATAATAATGCCCTACCCCGCGTCCAGGCATGCACCCCCAAATCATAATATTACCACTGTCATGCTTCACAGTTGGTGCAATATTGTCTTTTTTAAACTTTTTACCAACTGTTCTTCTAACAATCAGTTTCTTTGCCCCATAGAATAGTTGAAATAAACTTTAATTGGAAAAAATAACTTTTTTCCAATCCTTGAAAGTTTAGTTTTTGTGCTTTCTTGCAAAGACCAACCGTCGCCGGACATTGGCGACAGAGATCAAAGGTTTCTTTGCTTCCAAACACACGGCAGAGAGCTAAGATATAGACGTGTCAACACAACAGAAATTAATAAATGTAGCTATGAAACTTTTATCTGGTAGATATTTGGACAAATGTTGCAATGATTTAATTTTTCCTTTATTTGTCCTTTCTTTGTGCTGCCACTGTAAATTAAATCAAAATTATACATAATATTGTTTTTTGTTAAATTTTTGTATTATATAAAAATTAGTAAAATAAATTTAAGTAACAATATTAACATAAAAGCAAAAGTAAATTGATAAAAAATTTTGAGAAATGCCTAAAAAATGTTCAGTGGAAGCTATGATGGTTCCAAGGAATGTGGCAAAGTTTACAAGTGAAAAAGAGTTATGTTCAAGATGATTAGCAGCTTTACCTAATTAAATTCCGAATGTAACTAATAACATGGGTATTTGTGAAGAGCACTGGGCTTTAGAGTGAGTGTGCATTATCCCAAGAGATCTAAATATCAAGTAAGTTTTTTAAAAGTACATTATATGCTCGAAAATAACAATACAATATCATTTTTAATCATTTGTATAAGTGACTTCAAACTTAAATTCACAATATCAATATGATCGGTTGAAATTTGGACAATATTGAAATGAGTTTTCTCAAAGCCAACTTAACCAATTATAATGATTTTTTTTCTACAATGATGCTTACATAATTAATTTGTATTTCAATAAAAATAAATATAGCCTTAACTTTACGACGTGCAAGTAAATTAAGTTTTTGTATTCAATGAATCTCGGAAATTTTTAACTTTATTTCCACATATGTCTCCTTTCCTCAAAATCCCTCCAAGTTGTCCAGTAACATTTGATAACTCGCTGCTCAGGACAGTTTGGTGGATTAGCATCTTTTAGAATAAAATTGACTCTTTTTATCTTAAACCACTGAAAATCTTTTTTGGAATATTCAATCAATCCCAGATCTGGCCAAAATAAAGTTAATTATTTCTGCTTTTTAATTAGAGGAAGAAGTCAATTTCAACTATTCCCTCGCATACAGACCTGGTGTCAAAGATTGATTTGTTATAAAAGGAGAGCTTTTAAAACCTCAACTGCGAATCGCCTAAAATACAAAATAACTCAAAAGTGATTTTCTTACTTAAATGTACTCAAATTATGATAAGATTAATAACGAAATAATTATAACAAATATATTGAATATATTTTGTGTTGCTGTTCAAATTACGTAATGCTAACATCAGTTGAATAGAACCTATAAAATTTATAATGTAATTAATTGCTATTATCTCAATCTTTAAGTTAAAAAATTAACAAATTCAAAAATAAATTAAGGAAATGCCTTATTAATCTCAAAACACCCAAAACGCTTTAAATAGTCTCAGAAAAAAACTTTACGCTTTCAAGTTAAAAACCTTTTAAGTTGTCAGCCCTCTCATGGAAATTACATCACCTTGAATACAAGTTTTTATTCAAGGGCTAGGCCACATGGGGCCCATTTAGGACCTATATATGTAGTTAATTCTATCTTACTTTCTAAATTTAAATGCTATCCAATTTCGCAGTAGTGAGGCATTATGAATTATGGAAAATCAAGAAAAAAATTTATCGCTAAACTTAACTTACCTGCATGTTTATTTAAAGACTTGGTCCACTAATTATATTGTGTCTTGAGAAAATAATGTTGTTTTAATTTTCGTTGAAGAAAGATTTATATAGTGGCTATATCAAGATTTTTACATTATGGGTTTTTATATAACACTTTTTTACAGAACTAGAACTACAATTAATAAAGTCCCCAAAATACAAAAATATTTATAATAATATTTGCTTGGGGTTATTTTCGTTAAAAAACGCGTACGTACTTTACAACATAAAAAGATAATAGATGCGTACGACATTTAGTATCTTCTTTGTTATCGTTTTCGTGTTTGAAAAAAAAACATAGACTAAAAATATTAGTCCTTATTCGGCCTTGGCGTATTCTAGTTCCTGTGTTTGTTAAATGACCAAACTGTCTTTCTCTATGCTATCTTTCTAACTCTAATATAGCTGCCTTTCACTAAAATATTTTCTTATTCCCCAACAATCTCAACCCGTACAAAGAACAGGGTGCTCAGATAAGAGAATACTCGTTAAATGTGCGCGCAATTGTATGAGGTACTCCGCTGGACAATTAGCTGGAGGAGTATAAATCACAATAGCACACTTACTTTATGAAAACCCCCTTACGTTTCTCAAATGTGATTACGTTTCAAAGCTTTTTTCAAATTTTAAACTAAATTCAAATTAACTCTCTTTTGAAAAATCTTCTTTTTATATAAAGTCAAATCATTTTAAAATCTTCGTAATAGTGCTATTAATGCGATGTATTAGTGGTAGTAAAAGAGTTTTTAAGTTATATTTGAAAATTATTTCTTTAAAGGTTAAAGAGAACTTCATCAAATAAGTCCACTTGGGCCCCATGTGGGGCTTAATATGACTTGCTGGCTTGCATATTGAAAATAAAAGCTTCAAGGTAAACACCAATTAAATAAAAATAGCGATCATATAAAAAGAAAATTGTAAATAAATTGTAAAATTGTAGTAAATTGAACGAAGAGAAGTAAAATAATATCAATATTACTATTAAATAAAATATGGACAATAATGATGATTATATTAGTAATTATTATAAAAATAGCAAAAATAATAATAATAACAATAATAATAACAACACTAAGAACAACAGCAGTAAAAATAAATATAATAATAATAATAATAATAATAAAAATAATAACAATAAAAGGAAATATTATTACAATATTATTAATATTAATAAATATCACATATAAATATTAGGCAATTTTAACACGGAATAATGACGGTAATAAAAATGTAAATAAAATGTAAGTAACATTAACATAATATGATAATAATACTAACAACATTAGTAAAAGTTATATATTTTAAGCCTAACATTTTAATTAGAATATTTTTCTATCAAATAGTCAAAAAGACGGCTTTTAAATTGTGAAACAGAGTTGAGTGAATGAATTTTAAATAATGTATTTTAAGCCTGACAATTTAATTAGAATATTTTTCTATTAAATAGTCAAAAAGACGACTTTCAAATTGTGAAACAGAGTTGAGTGAATGAATATAA